GCCGTCACAACACATAAAATCATACATATAAATGTATGTGCATATATATATATATATATGTGTGTGTGTGTGTGTGTGTGTGTGTATATGTATACTAGACAGTCTAGGAAAAGGATTGGTATTGGGTGAAAGTGGAGGGGCAAATATGGTTAAAGTTCATGAACAAAGATGTCTGTGAACCCTTTTCACTATGTACTACAAATATAATTAAAGAGTGAGAGACTACAGAGATTTGACTCAACAGTTAAGAGCATTTGCTGCTTTTACAGAAGACAGAAGAAAAGGTTCTGTACCCGGTACCCACATGGCACCTCACAAATGTCCATAATTCCAGTTCCAGGGGATCTGACACCTTCTTCTGGCTTTCACAGGGACCAGGCATGGATGTGGTTCATATACATACATGCAGGGAAACACTCATATATATGAAATACATAAATAGTTAAATAAAAAAGATTGTATTCTGGGTAACTTCAGTTAACAACTTGACACACCTGGTTGGCAGCAACCTCAGTTGAGGAATTTCCTCCATTGGATTGGCCTGTGACCATGTCTGTGGGTCATTTTTTTACTAAGAGATGTGGGAGGGCCCAGCCCACTGTGAGCGGTACCACCCCTAGGCAGGTGGTCTTCTGTTGTCTAAGAAAGCAGGCTAAAAGACTGGAGAGATGGCTCAGTGGTTAAGAGCACTGTCTACTCTTACAGAGGACCCAGGTTTGAGTCTCAGCACCTACGTGGTGGCAAACAGCCATTGGCAATTCCAGTTCCAGGGCTCCAATGCCCTCTTCCTTTTTTTTTTTTCAGCTGGCCCGGCCTGGAGCTCACTAAGTAGACCAGACTGGCCTTGAACTCACAGAGATCTGTTTGCTTCTATTTCCCCAGTACAGAGATTAAAGACCTGTGCCACCACACCCATCTCTGATGCCTTCTTCTGACCTCCATGGGCATTCCACGACAGGGAATACACTCATACACATAAAATTAAAAACTAATAAATAGGAAGCTGAAAAGATGGCTCAGTGGTTAAGAACACTGACTGTTCTTGCAGAAGACCTTGGTTCGGATCCCAGCACCCACATGGCAACTAACAACTGTCCATAACTCCAGTTCCAGGGGATCCGACAGCTTCTTCTGTCCTCCATGGGCACTGCACAACACGGGTGCCCTTACCACAAGCAGGCATAACACTCATACACATAAAATAAAAATAATAAAACATTTTTTAAAAGTATAAAAATATTTTTAAAAAAGAGAAAGCAGGCTAAGCACAAGCCATAGAAGCCAGTAAGAAACATCTTCCATGGTCTTTGCATTAGTTTCTGCCTCCAGGTTCCTATCCTGCCTTCAGTTTCTGCCCTGACTTCCCTCGGTGATGGATTATGACCTGGGATTTGTAAGCTGAAATAAATCCTTTTCTCCCAACCTCCTTTTGGTCAGTGTTTTATCATAGCAATAGAAAGTATCCAGGACAGAATGAGTCTTGTTACCCTCTCTTATGTGTATGTATTATTCTTAACATTGGATTGAAATATTAGTATAGAAACTTCCTTATGAAAATATTTATATTGTAAACTTTTTTCAGGATCGTATTTAGTCTGTCTTCTATCAGAAAAGCGTTTTTTAGGGCTGGAGAAATGGCTCAAATGGTTAAGAGCGCTGAGTGCTCTTAAAGAGGGCCTGGGTTCAATTCCTAGCAGCCAACAACTGTCCATAACTCCAGTTCCTGATGCCTTCTTCTGATCCCCATGGGCATTGCTTGACCACCGGTACACTTACCCACATGCAGGCAATACACTCATACACATAAATTTTTATTAATTTATTTATTAATGAAAATAGCATCAGAAGGGGCTGAAGTGCACTGGCTGTTCTTGGAGAAGATCTGGGTTCAATTCCCAGCACCCACATGGCAGCTAACAACTGTCTGTAACACCAGTTCTCCAGTTCCTGATGCCTTCTTCTGACCCCCATGGGCATTGCTTGACCACCGGTGCACTTACCCACATGCAGGCAATACACTCATACACATAAATTTTTATTTATTTATTTATTTATTTATTTATTTTGTTCTTTTTGTAACAGGGTCTCCCTTGTAGCCCTAGCTGGCTTGGAATGCACTATGTAGACCAGGCTGGCCTTGAACTCACAGAGATCCGCCTGCCTTTGCCTCCCAAGTACTGGGACTACAGGCGTGCGCCACCACACCTAAAATAAAATTTTTTTTAAAAGGTGTTTTTGTTTTTTTAGGTGGTGGATTTGTTTGTATATCCTTGGTCACTTTAGTTGTCTTAAGAATAGTTCTTTTAATGAAAATATTTGTACACGGTTAGTATCATTCCTATATCGTGCCTCCTGTGTGCCTGTCACATCTGGAGAAAACTGAAGTACAAAGAGAAATGTGATGCATATGCCCAGGTCATTTAGCCATGAAGTGCTGTCAGCCTCCAGTATCTGTGCACTTAGCTTCTGTACTGTCCTGCCTTTGGTTTTATCTCGTATATAGTTTTTGCTTTGTTGAAGGGAAGGTAAGACAGATAGTAAGGAAGCTGGGTGTGATGACTAGGACTACTAGCAAGACCTTGACTCAAAAAATAAAATAAAGGCCAGGTGTGGTGGTCCATGCCTTTAATCCCTGCAGCACTTGGGAGGCAGAGGCAGGCGTGTCTCTGTGGTTCCTGTGGTTCAAGGCCAGCCTGATCTACAAAGTGAGTTCCAGGCCAAAAGACAAAAAAAATAAATAAATAAAAAAAGATAGTATTAAGGTGAGATTGATCATAATATCACTCCTTATAGAATTTTTAGGCTAATACATGAGGTAGTATATCCTGTGTTTTTTCATAAAAGTCTTCAAAGTTCCAAAATTTTCTGGGAATTACTGTGCTTTTTTGTTTACTCAAGGGTCTGAGAAGTCATGGAGTAAAGAGAACCTTTCACTTTTTGTAATTCACTCTTCAAGTATTTAATTGTAGGGGACCCTTTTTACATGTGACACCTGTGACATTTATTAACATCACATGGAATACTAATGTTCTGTAGCAGGTTTCTGTGGAACACATGCTTAGATATAGAAATGGTATTTTAACTGACTTTAATATATCTAGTAGCTTTAGTGCCCTTAACTTGGTTTATACTTTTACTCACTTGGGATAGGTAATCATTGTGTGCAATTTAAAAAGGGAAGTGTTTCTTTTTTTAATGGGAGACATTAATTTACTTGTCAATGGTGGAGGTCCCATGACTTAGCATTGTGCATGATTAGAAAAATGCCTTACTTTGGGATTATATCAGAAAGTATATCAGAAAGGAAGTATATCAGAAAGAAAAATTAATAGATAAGCAAATTTATCTGTTTAAATCTATTACATTTCTTTTGTTTCTATAGGTCTCATTATGGTTTTGGCTGGAGCTTCTGAATTTGATCCTCAGTATAATAAAGATGCCACAAGCAGACCAACAGATAATATTTTAATACCACAGGTTAGGCTGATTTTTCCAAATTCCTTTTTGGGCAGTTAAATACAGAAGTAAATGCTTTATGTTTCTGAATAATTACTTTATTTGCTTTAGCTAATCAGAGAAATTGGCAGCATAAATTTAAAGAAGAATGAGCCTCCACTTACCTGTCCATATAGCTTGAAGGCCAGAGTTCTTTTACTATCTCATCTTGCTAGAATGAAAATTCCCGAGACTCTTGAAGAAGGTATTTGTGACTCTATTATCTACGGTTTTAATGGGACCAAAGCAGCAGATTTAACTGGACCTTGAAATTCAGTGTGTTTAGATGCTATACTTTTTGTTCAATCAAGTAAGTTTTTTAAAATGTACATGGAATGTAATTACTTTGCCAATAGTTTAAAACTCTTAAGTTAAATGCTTTGACAAATACATTTATTATTTCAAGGTGAGAGAAGACTATATGAAAAAAGTTTAATAATTATAGGTTAGAAAAGAATTTTCTGGGGCTGGAGAGATGGCCCTGGTTAAGAGAATTGACTGCTCTTGCAGAGGACTTGAGTTTGATTCCTAGTGCCCACATGATGGCTTACATAACTGTAACTCAAGTTCCAGGGGATCCAGTGCCTTCTTCTGACCTCCAGGGGCATTGCAGGACATGGGCACACTCATATACATGCAAGCCATACACTCATACACATAAAAAAAGTATATTTTTTAAAGAAAGAAAATAATTTTCTAAATGACTTTTTGTTTTTTGAGGCAGAACCTTACTATGTTTCCCAGACTGGCCTTGAACTCATTCTGTAGCTCAAGCTGACCTCAAATTTGAAATCTTCTCAGTCTGCATGCTGGGGTTACAGGCATGCTTGTGGGACCTAGTGGTCTTTTAAATTTTTGGATAGACCAGTCTGGCCTGAAGTCACAGAGAACTGCCTGCCCCCTCCTTTGCTTGAGATTAAAGGAATGTACCAACACCTGTGGTAGGCCTAGTGATTTTGGAGGGACAAAAATGGATTTCCCAGGCCAGGTGTGGTGGTGCATACCTTTAATCTCAGCGCTCCAGAGGCAGAGGTAGGCAGCTCCCTGAATTCAAGGCCAGCGTGGTCTACATAGTGAGTTCCAGGCCAGCTAGGGCTACAGGGAGACCGTGTATCAAAAAGACCGAAAAAAAAAAAAAAGAATAAGTAAATAAAAAATAACAAATGGATTTCCCAGCAAATATCTCCACTGACTCTCCTGATCCCACTGTATCCACTCCTCTTTAGTAATAGCTACTTAGAAATTTGTTTAATCTTTATTTAAAGGTTCATGAGCACTTAGCCATCTACTCTGTCTAAAACAAAAGCAGTGGATTAAAAATATAACAGTTTCTTTAGCAATGCCATTGATTTGAATGTCTTCTCTTTTTTTTTTTTTTTTTAGCTGTATTTCAGTTGAAGCTTTAAAAGAACATTGTTACCCTGGGGAAAAATGCTCTTTTTGAATGAGATCTTACCATTCCCACCTCCTTTAAGCTAATAATGCAGCCCAGTGCTTCTGAAAATAAGACTGCTTGCTTAGTAATTGGTGCTAGGAAGGATGCCCATGATGATGGTATGCAGAACGTTTTTAGATTTTTGTCACTGGAATTACTTTGAAATAACCTAGCAGTTTTGTTGCTAATGTTCTATACACATAGGTAGGAAATCTTCAGTTTTGCTAGTTATCTCAGTACCAAGTCAAATGGATGATTTTTAGTAGTTAACTTTTCTTTGTATATTTCTGGCATTTGAACCCAGGACCTGGCATGTGCTGTGCATAATCTCCACCATCTAGCTATATATACCCCAGCCTGTTGGTTATTT